AGAAAATTTAGATAATTCTACGTAGACATATGTGTTGGAAGGTGGACAGCTTGTGTGCATCCTTTTTGGTCATTCTCCAGCATTCCGCTCCATAAAGAAGAACTGGCAAAATGATGCTCTTGAAGAGTCGGAGTTTTGTTCCTCTGCAGTAATTGTTGGATTTCCAGAATACTGGATTGGAATGCAAATTTTTTTTCCTGTTTGCAATTTCACTATGTAATTTTACGTCAAGTAGTTTGCCATTGCTTCTTAACTGTCGGCTCTCGATACCACTGTCAAAACCAAAGCAAGACAGTCTGCTGCCAAACTGCCCGCAGCTCAAGTCAAACTCTGCAAAGCCTAAACCACAGACGCCAACTGAATTAGAATACCAGCTGTGTATTTCCTTTTTTTTTTAACATTTTATAGCCGTTGTCCAAACATCAGTATGGACACTGACCACCGGCCTGTGGTGCTATCTTAGCTGAGGTATGTTCCAAATAAAAAACAACACATACAAAAACGAGTATACGTGACCAACTTAAAAAAACTATAGGACGATACAATCAAGAAAGAGGTGTGCACCAAGATGTCTAGTATGTATGAAACATTACCAGCACAAACAGATAACATAGATACAGAATGGAACATTTTCAAAAAATCCATTCTAAAAACATTGAATTCAACATGTGGGAAACAACAACATAGACAAAGATTTAAGAAAAGAACACCATGGTGGAATGAAGATATAAAAAAATCTATAAGGACAAAAAAAAAACAACTGTTCAAAAAATGGCTACAAACAAAGACAGTAGAAGACTATACTAACTACAAAAGTGCTAGAAAATCCACTAAACAAATAATCAAAGTGGCAAAAGAGGACTCATGGCAGAAATATGGCGAACAACTTGTGAAAATTATAAGGGAAAGACCTAGAGACTTTTACAAAAGTGTACATTCTATGAGAATAAGGGACGAAAGTTTTAACCCTACCAACATTATTAATGATAAAAACGAAACACCGTTATTTAACGCTAAAAGAAAGAAGGAAAGATGGAAGGAATACTTCTACGAACTACTCAATCCAACAAATACACAAACTAAAGAATACTACTCTACCTATAAGGAAGAACAAGAAGAAGCTTGCATTCTAATTCAAGAAGTTGAGAGAGTTATCAACATGAGCCCAAATAATAAATCAGCAGGTATAGACGGTATAACGAACGAGGCAATTAAAGCGTGTGGAAAAACCGGAGCAAAATGGCTACATAGAATATTCACGGTAGCATGGAACGAAAGGAAAACACCGGAGGATTGGCAAAAAGCTATTATAGTCCCAATTTGGAAAAACAAGGGCAATAAAAGAGAGTGTGACACATACAGAGGAATTTCTTTATTGAGCCACGTAGGGAAGCTATATTCAAAAGTACTTGAGACAAGAACAAAACATATTGTAGAGACACAGCTGAGTAAAGCTCAGTTTGGATTTAGGAAAGGAAAAAGTTGCACAGACGCCCTTTTCACCCTAAGACAACTTAGTGAAAAGGCAATAGAATATAACAAACAACTCAATATAGCATTCATTGACTAAGAAAAAGCCTTTGACAGGGTAGACAGGAACAAAATATGGTATATATTGAATGACTATGGAGTACAAGGTCAGCTACTAGACAACATCAGATCTCTGTACCAAACAAGCTCAAGCGTAGTTAGAACAAATGTTGGTGTGACAGACGAATTCATACTAAGAACAGGAGTAAGACAGGGTTGTGTACTATCACCACTACTATTCAATATATACATGGACAGAATAACAACAGCAGCAAACCATGTAATGATAAGCGAACTGTTAACTACACCAAGCAGTGAGACAGAGTTAGTTGAAAGAGATCATTATAATGAAAACATACACGCCGATCCTGAAGAAGTACATCCCCAACTGAACGAAATACTTTTCGCAGACGACCAACACCTAATATACTAACTATTCAAGTTAACATCGAACAACTCAAACAAGTGCAGCAATTTAAATAATTGGGGAGCATCTTCACAGATGATGGAAGAATTGATAGAGAACTTGAGGCAAGATGTCAAAAGGCGAACGCAGTAACTTACCAACTCTCCCCACTGCTAAAACACCCAAGCATCACTATGGCACTAAAACGACAACTGATAAATTGCATGTTTATACCAACCCTCTGCTACCAATGCCAAACCTGGTCCCTAACAAGAGCACAGGAGAAAAAGATCACGACGTGCGAAATGAGATGCTTACGTAAGGCTGCCAATGTCACAAGGAGAGACAGAGTTCGAAACGAGAACATTAGAGCAATTGTAGGAACCACACCATGCCTGCAATACATAAAGAAGCAACAAATAGGGTGGTTTGGCCACTTGATGCGAATGCAAACCGACCAACTGCCTCTACGAGCATACAACGAACAGCACTACTGCCCTAGAGCAAGAGGCAGACCGAGAGTACGATGGATAGACAATATATCAGAGATACTGAGGCAACACGGACTAACAACAACACGTGCAACACACCTGGCCCAGGATAGAAAACTGCGACTCCCCACTACGCTGTGAGGCAATTGTGGACAAGACAAGACAAGACAAGCCGTTGTCGTCCCCATGTGCGACGCATTTTTTCGTTATTTTAAAGTCCCACCCCGCTTTTGTCGTAATATAACCTAACGATTGAACGCGGTTTCTGTGACCTCTCCATGGGTGATCCTCATCCGCATGGTGGCACTTTTTGTCACCGGGTATTTATTGCTCTGTATGATGTCCTAGTGAGGTATAATTTACTTACTTACTATTTTTTTTATTTGATTGTGGAGGCACATTTGATCGCTTGCTGCCAGTCGAAAAGTTGTGCTGCCAGTCAAAAAGTTCTACTTCCATTCGAATCCACGCTAAGGCAGATTTTTTTTATTAACATTGGCTTCCAGGACGATCTACCTAAAACGGGCATTATATAATGTCTATGAGAAGTAAAGGAATTCCGCGTAATTTTTGATCCCATTACCCTTCAAGTGCCAGTTTATAAAAAAATATATTATCGTATATATAATGGCGAGACAGCCCGCCAAAGCGTGTGTACCAGGAGGGTCAGGAGTGCCAGCAGTGTACTTGCTCCTGAAGGGAAGACGCTTGCGCCGGTTGAGACATGTGTTCCGCATAAATGATGGTCGTATTCTTACGGATTTCCTGTATGGCGAACTATGGTGAAATGTGGAAACAGGGAAAGACCTACAAGAAGACCAAGGTTACGCTATAGGGAAATATGCAAACGACCTGAAAGGTACCAACATTGTAACACACACTGGAAAGAGACAACAAGCTGCAGACGATTCCTATGTATGCAGACAGTAAAAGACGGGTTGTCGCGCTTTACAAGATACCTAGCTCAGCAAGCTATAGACAGAAGACTTCTAAGAGAAATGCAGCGGGGGTATAACAGAGTGTGAAGGATTTTATATCGACTATATGGCAGAGATTGTCGCTCTCACATAGGACTTTACGGTCATAGCAGGCGTTACCCCCAAAACCTGCAGCATAGCTCGGTGACAGGTCTTCCGTAAGTACCCAAACATGACAAAAGGTACATAATTTTAATAGGTTGATTAAAAACCATTAAAACCAACATATGTGTATTTCCCTACTGGGGAGTATACTAGCTATGCGGCCCTAAATTGACTATACTAGCTATGCGGCCCTAAATTGACTATACTAGCTATGCGGCCCTAAATTGACTATACTAGCTATGCGGCCCTAAATTGACTATATTAGTTATGCGGCCCTAAATTGACTATATTAGCTATGCGGCCCTAAATTGACTATATTAGTTATGCGGCCCTAAATTGACTATATTAGCTATGCGGTCCTAAATTGACTATATTAGCTATGCGGCCCTAAATTGACTATATTAGCTATGCGGCCCTAAATTGACTATATTAGTTATGCGGCCCTAAATTGACTATATTAGCTATGCGGCTCTAAATTGACTATATTAGTTATGCGGCCCTAAATTGACTATATTAGCTATGCGGCCCTAAATTGACTATATTAGTTATGCGGCCCTAAATTGACTATATTAGCTATGCGGTCCTAAATTGACTATATTAGCTATGCGGCCCTAAATTGACTATATTAGCTATGCGGCCCTAAATTGACTATATTAGTTATGCGGCCCTAAATTGACTATACTAGCTATGCCCCCCCCCCAATTGACCATACTAGCTATGCCCCCCCCCCCAATTGACTATACTAGCTATGCGGCCCTAAATTGACTATATTAGCTATGCGGCCCTAAATTGACTATATTAGTTATGCGGCCCTAAATTGACTATATTAGCTATGCGGTCCTAAATTGACTATATTAGCTATGCGGCCCTAAATTGACTATATTAGCTATGCGGCCCTAAATTGACTATATTAGTTATGCGGCCCTAAATTGACTATACTAGCTATGCCCCCCCCCCAATTGACCATACTAGCTATGCCCCCCCCCAATTGACCATACTAGCTATGCCCCCCCCCCAATTGACTATATTAGCTATGCCCCCCCCCCAATTGACTATACTAGCTATGCGGCCCTAAATTGACTATATTAGCTATGCGGCCCTAAATTGACTATATTAGTTATGCGGCCCTAAATTGACTATATTAGCTATGCGGTCCTAAATTGACTATATTAGCTATGCGGCCCTAAATTGACTATATTAGCTATGCGGCCCTAAATTGACTATATTAGCTATGCGGCCCTAAATTGACTATACTAGCTATGCCCCTCCCCCAAATTGACTATACTAGCCATACGGCCCTAAATTGACTATACTAGATATGCGCCCTAAATTGACTATACTAGCTATGCGGCCCTAAATTGACTATACTATCTATGTGGCCCTAAATTATCAGACTCAAAGACCACTACCCCCTGGGTGGGGGAGGGGGGTTGGGGGGGGGGGGGGTCACCAGTAAATACAGACAACAATGGCAGCTGGCCTCATACTAACCCGTTAATGACCGGAAGTATAGTATCTCCACGATCCACAGCTAAACTGCCCCCTGGCAGGAAACAGTCTTGAACGTCAATGATTATGAACGCGGATCTGGTTTCCTCTGAGGCGACGAATGCAATGCCACGCATAGCCAGCAGTAGTACAACACACTTCAGATGGCCGTACATGTTGATACTGCATGTATCCATTATCTGTCGGAGAAGTTGGAGTCTCTGTTATGTGCATGAAAATGAAAAGGAAAACAAAACTTCACTTTCACGTAATTAACGCTGACGCCGCTAGAAATGATCAAGTTTACCGAATAAAGTAAAGTAAAGGAACCTTTTTCCACGCCTTTATGAGTATAAGGCATAAAGGGCTAGACCTATATTTTATAGACTAATCGCCACAAGATGGATGATATGGTTAGCATCACGCCGGCCGCCTTTACCTCCCGGGACTGGGTCGACCTGGGAGCCAATGTCATTTTAAAAAAAAAGGTCCGGCTCCGCCAGGAAGCAAACCCAGGACCTTCTGATCCGCAGGCGAGCCTCTGGTCGCTAACTTTCCCGAATGGACAATATTATTCGACATACTTATTTTCTTCTTCCCTGGAATGCCTCACGGCGTCAAGGGAGGTGGAAAGCTCTGGAACAGGACCATCTGTTCGCTTTGTGTATACTACTTATCAGTATCTGATATTTTACTGTCCATATTCTGTGTGGTCGACCTCTGGGTTCGTAACGTCTGAATCGGTCCAGCATCGCTCTCTGTAATATCCTATCCGATGCTAATCTCGTTACATGGCCACACCATTTGATCTGTTGTACGGCATGAGGCTCCGTAAAACCAGCACAGAACATGCCGGATCAGGGCGAGCTATGGAGTATCTTCTATACACAGCAAAAGGGCTTTCAATTTTCCTGATGTTACATGATTAGTATTATTACCATTGCGCACTTGATCAAGGTTTAAGCCCCATGAATCCATTCCGTCTCTAAAAATTATAAGGGGGTTGAGTCTCCCTCGCCATTGTTTTCTTTGAGTCGGCGCCCGTTGTTTAAGTCCATGACTAATCAGTGACCAATTTTAGACCTTCAACTCTGCAGTACTTTTGATGCACTGTCGCACACTTACAAAAGTTTGTGACAAGACATAATCGTCTATTTTATCTTAACTATCTACTTACGTGTCCACATCCCTAGCTTACAGAAAACGTTTCTTTTAAACATACCTCTCCACACAGAACACCGATTTCCAGTGAGTACGTTCTCGGTCTGGCCTCGTCAGTCCGATCTCCCTCTCTCATCGTCACATGTTTATGAAAACGTGTGCTGCGCCAGCCGCCAGAATGGAATGTGCGTTGAAATCAAAATGGTAGGTCATTTTTAGACAATACATGCAGGGCTGCGGGTGTATCGGAATGATATTTATATTTTTTTAAATACTATGAACTTTTTATTTTCTTCTTCTTCTTCTTCTTCTTCTTCTTCTTCTTCTTCTTCTTCTTCTTCTTCTTCTTCTTCTTCTTCTTCTTCTTCTTCTTCTTCTTCTTCTTCTTCTTCTTTTTCTTCTTCTTCTTCTTCTTCTTCTTCTTCTTCTTCTTCTTCTTCTTCTTCTTCTTCTTCTTCTTCTTCTTCTTCTTCTTCTTCTTCTTCTTCTTCTTCTTCTTCCTCCTTCTTCTCCCGCCCCAACCATTTACTCGGAAGTGTTGAAGGGACCGGTTCAGATGGTGAGGATATAAGTATTTTCTGTGTGATTTGTCTTATGCGTTTTGTAGGTTGATCATCGTTTCTTTAAGGCTGTTCTTGAAACAGTCGTTCATCGTTCAGTGTTTAGCGTTGTCTTCCTCTTCCTCTGTTTGTTATATCTTCAGCGTGACTCTCTGAGGAGCCGGTGCAAGGGCATTCTCGTCGGATGTTTAAACATTCCATGTTTGTACTTAATTTATTCGTTTTTCGCCTTTTCCTTCTTAGAAACAAAGGGACTAATCAGGTTGGCGTTGTGGGGGTGGGTGAGGGGGATGGGCGGGGGTGGGGGTGGGTGGGCGGGGGGGGGGGGCTGAGCCTATGCGATAATTTTGTATGGAGACTAAAAAGGCCCCTTTAACTGTAGAGCTGGGGTGGGGTGCGCACACCCAATATTTTTCTTCGTAGCGGCACACCTGTGTTCTTTATGTGTTTACAGCCGAGCTTGAATATTTATGTGTGCCTTTCGGTTGACACATCCGGGTTTGTGCTTTTTTTTTAAAGACATAAATTGGACTAAACTTTAGATCAACGAATAATGAAAAAAAACATAATAATCCTAAGCCATATCCCTCTCTAGAGAAAGAAAGAGAGCGAGCGAGCGAGAGAGAGAGAGAGAGAGAGATATAGAGAGTGAGAGAGAGAGAGAGCGAGAGAGAGAGAGCGAGCGAGCGAGAGAGAGAGAGAGAGAGAGAGAGAGAGAGATAGAGAGAGAGAGAGAGAGAGAGAGAGAGAGAGAGAGAAAGAGTGTGATTAAAAGGAACATAAACCCATATTGTTATACTTACCAACACAGTATACGCGAACGACAGTGTGGCCAATACCACACTGGCCGCTTTTACTTCCCATAATAACTTCGGTTCTCATTTAGGATTTACCAGGGCGCTCTAGACTCAATGAGGGTTCGAACCCAAAACCTTCTGTACTAGGCTGAAAATATGCCATGTGTGTTGTGCTGATCTTCTGCAGTATGATGTTTTCCTCTTCTTCTGGTTGTGTTAGCTTTCTGATTTACACCGACCGACAAGTTCTTGTGATAAACTTGACTGTTTATATGAGTTCCCTTTTAGTTCCATACAACCGTGAGTGAAGGGTTAACTCATTGGGCCAATATTGCCGTCTTAATAGGCTGTACAAGGGACATTTTTTTAGAACATGTACTGTAGTCTGCAGACACCACCCACACAGACACAGTGGTAAACTACTTAGACTATCGGTTCTCAACGACTCTTTTGTGGGTCGAACGACCTTTTCAAGAGGGGTCGCCTAAGACCATCGGAAAACACATATTCATTGAAGTTATAAAGTAGCAACATATTAACTGTATGGTTTTGGGTCGCTACAACATGAGGAACTGTAGTCAAGGGTCACGGTGTCAGGAAGTTTGAGAACCACTGACTTAGACGAAGCCTGTTCGATGCTTATTAGGTTTATTATGTCCTGTTCTGAATCGAAGAATAGTGACCTGTCCATGCTGGTCAAGAAGTGGTAGTCACGTGTGGCCACATTCTGTTCACTTCTGATAGACTGGACGGCCCTTTGCTTCTTAAAGTATGTTTCTGCGTTCTCTTCCTATTGACCTTCTGCCCCTTTCTTAGCCCATTCATCCGCAGTTTCGTTTCCTGGTATTCCCCAGTCGAATGGCTCCCACTGGAGTACAGGACACGTTTAGGCAGCCACCTTTGCCAAGTTCAGATCTCAGGTGAGGGAGTTTACCGCTCTTGAGGGTTTGAAGCACCGACAGGGCATCTGTGAAGATTGACCACTTAGTGGCAGGGCTGCCAATGATGGGTTTTTACCCCCAGATTTGGGTTTTTGTTCAATGCCTTGGGTTTAAATTTTGAAATCTGGGTTTTTTTGTTTTAATATTTCATATAAAAGTGGGTAAAGGTTTCGTTTCGTAACTATAACATTTGTAGTTTTCAAGAATCTGGGTTTTTAATTTTTTTTTTGCGTGGTTCTTTGCTTATGTATGTTTTTTGGTCATCTTAGCTGGGTTTTTCACAAAAGTCCTATTGGCAGTCCTGCTTGGTGGCAGAACTGGTGTTTTGTAACATTTCGGCTGCCTGTCCTAGTGCTTGTTTCTCTGCTTGTAGTTGGAAAAGAATGTACCAGTAAGTATATACTTTGTGTCGCGGTCTTTTTCTGGGTATATAATAAAGACGCCAGCACCCCCATTTTGAACCGCACCTGTTGCTGATCCGTGTGTGTAACATAGACGACTGTTCGAGGTAGTTTACCTGAATCCTGCTTAGCGCAGTTGTTATTTTGAATGTCAAATTTTTTTCTCAAAGATGTATGTGCTACTTTTTCTTTGGACCTAACAAAGCAGGTCAAAAGAGTTATCCAGTTTTTTTTCCTTCTCATGGCATGAAACTTTGTATATTGTCTCCTTCTGTGTGGGCAAATATTTATCTTCGTGAGTCAGTTTTTTTCAAGACATCTTCATTACTCGTTTTATCTGCCGAGGGTAGACTCTTCATTCGTTTATGAAACTAAATCTGTGCCACTTCCAAGATATTGTTTACTAACAGGCCAACCACCTGTGATTTAATTATATCTATATCAAGATACGTTTTATATAGGTTAGTTGCGTATCCTTTACAGGACGTTGCAGAACTAATCCCAACAGCCCCTGTCTATTGTGTGGTTTCTCTAGGCAAATTTACGTCCAGTAGTTTGCCATTGCTTCATGGACGGTCGGCTTTCTTGACACCACTGTCGAAACCAACTCAAGGCGCATGGCCCGCAGATGGCATCGAACCCGGCATCCAGGCATTACGACAAAGGAAGACTGCATGGAATATCCTTCATTTTGTGAAATGCTGCCTTTGCACCTTCTATCTGCTGTACCCAAGTAGTTATAAACATACCAACGTGAGGATAGTCCCATTTAATTTGATGTTGCGTTTTGGAAGGTCCACTTTGTCGCCCAGCTTCTGAGTTGAGTGCATGGCGTGACACTGTGAGCTACGTGTGTTTTTCGTTGGCACAGGAGCGGAGCAACTATGGGGTGACCCGTTTGCTATGAAGCTGAAACTAGGATTACCAGATTACCAGATTACCACTTTCTTTATGACTACTATTACTTCTGTTTTGTTTCTGTAGTTCCGACATAAATCCTGCTTTCACTTTCCACTGTTACCGTTAGGTGACGTGGTAAGGAACCAGTTGCGATCCATTGCAAAGACAGAAAGGTGTCAACCAGTATTCTTTGGAACACACGGCATATTCCGTGTTATAAAAGTGATCAAAAAACAAATGAAACTCACACAAGAGAAATAATACTGTTTATATTTCGTTTTTCTTATAGCATAATTCATCATCATCGTCCCGCATCACCGTGTGTCGTGAAGTCACCGGTTTCTGTTGATTGATTGATTTGATCTGATTAAAGAACCGACATCTCAGCACTCAGGGCATTCCCATAAGCGCTCCGT